TGTATTGGTTTTATTTGTAACCTTTTGCTAAGAACAAGACTATAAAATAAATAATTTTTAAGCATGAAATAAATTTTGAAGCAGTGTGAAATTATTTTTTTAAACAATATTTATATACACATTGAAATACATTACAGCTTACTTCCTCATGCTTAGTTCTTTCTTTTGGACACTAATCACAAACATAAGGTGTAGTATTTAAAGAAAGAAAACCATGATTGCTTCCTGTTCTCTGTTCAAAAATATACTTTGCATTTTCCATGTGAACTTCAAGCCTTCAAATGTTGTATCTTTTTGAAGAGTTGGGCCTTTTTCCATTCTCTAAATTTCTTGTCCCTGTATCTTCCAATTTTTCACCTCCCTCAATGACTTAACTATTTCTGTATACTTTTTCTTGTTTCTCTTCTACTTTTTGTCTCTTTCTCCTGTCACTAAAGAGTATCCTACATAGCAATCAACACTCTCATGGGTAAAGCCTGCAAATTACACTCAGGTCAGGGTACATAATAAAAGAAATGATTTTGAGGGTATATAATATTTATACACAATTCTGGGATTCATAATGCCAAGATTTCGGATCTTATCACCCTAACATACACATTTAGAGATGCACACAAAAATACTGAATGAATTTTATGTCTGGAAAAGTTTTATGAAGCACTAAAAACAAACTAGCAGCTTGAATATGTAGTGTTACTCTTTCATAAAAATGTTAAGACAAAAAGTTTAGTATACATAAAAAAGTAATGCAAAAATTGAAAACAGGATGAGCCAGTGGGAAAAGGATGATCATGATAATGAAGTAACTTATTAACTAATTACAATCAGAGAAGTGCCGAGACTTATCCTGTTACTCCAATACTTACTGATACATTTATTTCTGTTTTATCTTAATGTTAGAATTAAGCAAGGAGGAGACAAATTTTCCTAAGTGAAATTAACAGTTAAGAATATTGAAATAGAGTAAGAATTGTGTTAAGGAAAAGTTAATAATCCCTGCTTACATGTAATTTTAAGCAGAAACATCAGAAAAGACAGTAGTCTTACAATATAGTGAACCTTTTCTGTCTAAGCCTGAATTTCACTGGCAACACCAGTACCATTACTAAAAGCAATGGCTAATGCTGCCCATGCAACAATTGATACTCCCAGCACATCTCTAATTATAATGCATAACTTAACTGCTTGCAATGATGAAAATAGAAGATGATGTGAATTGAATACAATTTAAAATGCCACATATTGGTGCAACTTGTGGATGCCAACATTAAACCATTAGCAATGGTTCATTGTGGTCTTGCTTTATAAATTTTGTTCACATATACATGGCTTCTAAAGTGTTTTTACCAAGGAGTCAATTACTAGGCCTACAAGATCTCTCCAATTTAATCCATTCCTTGAATTAATTGTGAAAAGTTTATTTTTCATTCCATTACTATTATTATTATTATTACTATTCTATTACTATTATTATTAACAGTAATAACAAATAAACATTCCCTTCTGAAAATTCAAGGAATGGAATGATTGGTGAGATTAAGGTGGCCCAGTAATTGACTCTATGGTAACTTAATGTTTCCGGAACCATTCACGTGTTAACAAAATTAATAAGCAGAAACCATAAGGGTCAGTGCATGTATACATGCACTCCCAGTTTGAATGAGTTGAAGTTCACATAAATTAACACATTGGATCATTTCCCTTAACAAGATCCATATATTCTCTGCAAAATACTGTTATTTAGCACATTTTTATATATCTCCCCCCCAATCCCTCGCTCATTGTTGTCATGGCTTAGGAGTTGGAGACAGGCCCAATGGAGGGGATCAACTCCTACCTTGGTTCTCAGCCCTCACCTCAATTAATTTTATAAGGTCTTTTCTTCTCCCCCTTTCCTTTTTCTTCTCTTCTTCATCCCCTTCTTCTGTTCCCTTTTTCATAAGTGATAACTAATTTTTTCCCTTTTCACCACAATACTTTACCATAGTGCCTAGCACATTTATTTCTTATAAGCATTAATCACCGATCATATATTTCTTGTTTGTCTTGGTAACTGTGCTTATTATAAACAGCCTACAATAATAAATAAGAAATAAATAATATGTACAATATACAATGCTATGCAAAAGTGTCAACATTCAAATAGATGTTTTTTTTAGTTTCTTAAAACATCTATAAAAATTTTGGTGCTTCATTTCATACAACCAAGTAGCTCTCGCTATTATCAAATTAAACTTTCTCATTAAGTTTGATAGCACTTGGTACCTATTTCTCTAATTAGCATTTCAGGTGCAATATTAAAAGTGTGTCACAGTTACATACTCCCAATATCATGAGAGCAAGTTAGAAATTGGAACTCAGTTATCTGACTGTATGCTGCCTTGATTTCCATTTCTATACCCTAAGAGACCACCAGAAAAGCCAGGTTCATTTCCCAATTTACTATGAATTACTGACTGGTGATCAGTTGATTAATGGAAATAATTTATAGTTTCACAATTGCTAGCCTTTAATAATTCATATACCATGAGAACCATGACTCAGATGTTTCTTCATTATCTTGGACTGAACTATCACTCTCTGGCATCCATGTACTGAAAAAGGAAATTTCTGTTGTATATAAATCATAATTTTCATCTGAAGTTTGGTCATGAAGGTCTGGAGGTGCTGTTGTTTGGACAGTACTTACTTCATGGTTTTCAGGAGTGGATGCAATCCACTCCTGATTTTCTGATCTCTGGGTGGTAAAAACATCAGATTTTAAAATCTGATCTGTTTCTGGACTTTGCAAAGCTTCAGTCAGTATTTCAATGCTAAGGTCTCTATTATTTTCACCTCTGTTTCTCTTCCTTTTATTCTTCCTTGCTCTCTTTTGTTCACCACTTCCTGTATTGTTCTTCATTCCTGAAGAAATTTCAAATGATATTTCATGGAGAAACTCCTCCATGGATTGTATATCAGCACTTGCCTGCTCATCATCAAGAGAGGTATTAATGGGTTCAAGTTGATCCTGGGAGTCTACAGAATCTTGCAACTTTTTCTCAGGCTGCAATAATAATTTTTGCAAACTAAAGGAACGGTCTTCTACTTTTTCGCTGCTCTGAGGTCTATGAGGCCTTTTTCATGCTGATTGGCTTTGGAAAAGAGGTGAAGACAGATCTGTTCTCGTAGGAGGGAAAGGATTCATGCTTTGCATCATTGGATTGAAAAATGACATGGGTTGTAATATGACTGGGGTATATTGCATAGCAGATACTGCAGACATGTAGCCAGGGTGCATTGGCATCCCATTATTGGAATAATATTTCTCAGTTTCTTCTTTCTTGCTGCTATCTTCACCGCTACTTCCATCGCGTACTTGTACTGAGTAGTGCTGTCCAGGGTCCATTTCTGCTTCCTCAGAATTTACTGTTAGTTCCTCAGAGTTTGCCTTTGAACTTAATTTTGATTCAAATTCTCCAGAATTTATGTTAATTTCTGAACTTATTTTTGCTTCCATTTCTTCAGACTTTCTTTTTATTTCCTCAGAGCTTACTTTTGAAACTTCATATTTAGTTTTTTCTTTGGAGTTGTTTTTCACTGTTGTAGAGTTTGTCTTCACTTCTTTTGATTTAAATTCTTCAGAATTTATTAGGAGCTCCTTAGAGTTTATCTTTATGTTTGCAAACTCATCAGAATTTCCTTGAAATTCTTCTGGTGAACCTGTTTCATATTCAGTACTTGTATGCTGCTGCTGCTGTTGATCACTGGTACTTTTACTGTCTGGAATAAGAACTCTTTCAAAATTTATTGTTTGGTTTACATCATATGGGGATCCAAGAATTTCTTCTGCAGAATCTTCATATTCATAACTGCCCATTCTGTCCTGCATTCTGTTTTTGTTTTTCTGTGACCTGTGCCTGTTTGCTGTCATCAAAGTTTTTGGATCTGTACTATCATCCATGATGGCATAGACTGATGACTGATCCCTATTAAGAAGTGTCAACATTCAAATAGATGTTTTTTTTAGTTTCTTAAAACATCTATAAAAATTTTGGTGCTTCATTTCATACAACCAAGTAGCTCTCGCTATTATCAAATTAAACTTTCTCATTAAGTTTGATAGCACTTGGTACCTATTTCTCTAATTAGCATTTCAGGTGCAATATTAAAAGTGTGTCACAGTTACATACTCCCAATATCATGAGAGCAAGTTAGAAATTGGAACTCAGTTATCTGACTGTATGCTGCCTTGATTTCCATTTCTATACCCTAAGAGACCACCAGAAAAGCCAGGTTCATTTCCCAATTTACTATGAATTACTGACTGGTGATCAGTTGATTAATGGAAATAATTTATAGTTTCACAATTGCTAGCCTTTAATAATTCATATACCATGAGAACCATGACTCAGATGTTTCTTCATTATCTTGGACTGAACTATCACTCTCTGGCATCCATGTACTGAAAAAGGAAATTTCTGTTGTATATAAATCATAATTTTCATCTGAAGTTTGGTCATGAAGGTCTGGAGGTGCTGTTGTTTGGACAGTACTTACTTCATGGTTTTCAGGAGTGGATGCAATCCACTCCTGATTTTCTGATCTCTGGGTGGTAAAAACATCAGATTTTAAAATCTGATCTGTTTCTGGACTTTGCAAAGCTTCAGTCAGTATTTCAATGCTAAGGTCTCTATTATTTTCACCTCTGTTTCTCTTCCTTTTATTCTTCCTTGCTCTCTTTTGTTCACCACTTCCTGTATTGTTCTTCATTCCTGAAGAAATTTCAAATGATATTTCATGGAGAAACTCCTCCATGGATTGTATATCAGCACTTGCCTGCTCATCATCAAGAGAGGTATTAATGGGTTCAAGTTGATCCTGGGAGTCTACAGAATCTTGCAACTTTTTCTCAGGCTGCAATAATAATTTTTGCAAACTAAAGGAACGGTCTTCTACTTTTTCGCTGCTCTGAGGTCTATGAGGCCTTTTTCGTGCTGATTGGCTTTGGAAAAGAGGTG